AAAAAGATAGAAGATGAAAATATTCTGGAAATCTTATACTAGACTTTTTTATCGCTTGGTGCGCACGGAATCCCTATTATATTCGAAGAACATCCTACGTACCTAGGGAGGATAGAGGGAGAAGATAGGTATTGGAATTTTTTTTCAACTTTTGGAGGTTATTATAAGTTCTTGGAAATACTTCCTCAGGCAATTAATTCCAGAGCTTTCCCGTTCTTAAAAATACGACTTCTGATATAGGGCAACATATTTCGAGGTTGACAACGAAAGGATGTGCTGACTGCGCTTGTCGAGTTCGTCTGACTGGTATTGCTAGTCGGGGAATGATAGCAGAGATTTCTGAAGAACATGTCCATTGGAAGTATCTATAAAAAAGTAGAAGGTCGCCTGTACCAAGGGGTTTTATTGAAGCAATAAGGTATAGTGAGGTCGAAAAACCTCGACTATACTTACCTGATAGCCTCGTGAAGAGTTTCGTTTTAGGCTATCACTGGGTTGGTGCTGAGGGGAAAAAATATTCTTCAAACTTGCTAAGCATCATTAAAAATATATGTAAAGCAATGTGACGTAGTCGAGGCGGTGCTAGTTATATTTTTGTTGTCTTCAATTATTTTTCGAAATATTTCACATTATATCCTTTGAGAAATAGGTTGTTGGAAAACTATTTCACTAAAAACGGAAGGCCTGATGGATACTTTCCGACAAGCGGGATAATTTATAACAGGTATAGAACAGGAAACTTCGACTTCGACCATGTGCACACTGACGCATTCTAACATCTGACATGCATACAATTGAAGCAAATACGTACGTAGTGACATATGGGACGACTTTGATGTGGATATAACGCATACAACAGGCAGAACAAGAAACTCCAACTTCAGCCATGTGCACATTGTAACTCTGCATTCCAACATGTGGCAGGCATACGATTGGAGCAGATACGATCCTAGTGGCCATATCTCACGACTTTGAAGCGGGATAATGCATACAACAGGCACAACAGGAAACTTTGATTTCGACAAAGTTCGCACTGTAATTCAGCATTGTGACAAGGCGCTCTTGATGAATTGGTTGTAGGACGTGTTTACGTATCAGTACGACATGCTTGCGCAAATCCATCTGAAAAGTGCATGCCTGAGATAGCGCTAATATTAGAAACGTATTGTCCTGATAGGCCCAGTAATAAGTGGGCCATCCACATGCTTTCATTTGAGGAAATTATAAATATTGCGATATTGCTCTGCCCACCGGTGTTTTTCCTCTTCTGCCTTCGCCGACACCTTATGAAGAGAAGCTTGTCCAGGCTTCCGAAACTTTTGAGGCAAAAGCGGAACGCCGGGCCTTATTATTACACTCAGGTCTCCTTATCTCCCAGAGGAACTGGTTCTCTTGGAGAAGCTGTTGCTTCTGTTCGATGGCCCGTCGTATCGCATTAAAAAGCAGATTCGGGAGAATACTTATGTGCTACATCAAATCAAAACCGGGGAAGAAAAGAACGCGGTGTTTTCCATGCTTCACACTTGAAATATTGTATGTTCAAGCAATTTGAGTGCCACTCGCGCTAAAAACGGTTGCTTATCATTTCGCTCGGTCACTCCTGGGTGGGGTGGATCAGATGCAACTAAACGTTAGTATATATTTTACTGATGATTAAGTGGTGTCGACAACATCGCGTAAAGAGAGTACTGAACCAATCAACATCAGACATCTTAAAGACGTAAATTTTACGTCCGATTTACGTCTTTACGTCCGAGGACGTAAAAATACGTCTTAAGAACGTACATTATTCGTGTAAGTCTCTAAGACTTAAAAATGTACATCTTGAACACGTAAGAACGTATAAAATATGTTCTTATTGACTTGAAATGTACAATGAAGTTTTCCCAGTCAGCACCAGGCGTCATCAATACGTACATTTTGCATGGGTTCGATTCACGTCCCATTACGCAAGAAACATCCTGGGAATGTTTGTTAAACAATAATGTCTTGTACCTTTGGTTATCTTTTTGAGATAACATATCTTGTGATAATAACACATTTGTGAGACGTTTTAATTTTTCCCTTTTTCGGGCTGACAGCTTCATCTCCAGATAAACGTATAGGTGTCCATATTACAACGTCTCCTCCAGAGTATTCCTATTGCATCTACAGAACATTTTATGTGACGTAATTTTCATCATTTTTCGTAACACTATATTATCATAAACTTGATTCAAACCATCATATACGTTATTATAATCCTCATGACTAAAGTTCGACATTTTGCCTGATTTGCTTTTTATACGGTTTTTTTTTCGTGAACTGAGTTTTTGCAAAACGGCGTATAGAAATACGGATTTGAGAGCTATACCAGTGTAATTATCGGTGTGAAGCCATATTCTAGTCATTTGCATATCCGAGTGATGAATCGACGATTTCCAGTGGTCTTATGGTACCAAACTGTTCTCTCTATAGTTCTGGCCTGTGCCTAATCGTTACCACCGATACAACAAGGCCTGCATGCTCCGTGGGTGACGTCACTTAGTCAGGCCTAACCAGCGGCTCGAAACGACAAGCGCTTATACCGCTATAAGGCGACCGCGTATTTCGATTTTAGTTTTAGATCATCATTGAGCCGATTTTGCTATTTTTGGAAGGGCTTCCGGTTAAAAAAGGATGCCAGTCGTCAACTGAGCCCTTCTTCGCACCCCATTCGATTTTATTATGGAAAAACGAAGTTTTAAAGCAAAAACCAGGATAAAACACAAATATCCACCTACAGCAACCCATTCGAATTAAATATATTGGCAAAAATTGTGGTGAAGGTAAACTTCATACCTACTTATAAAGGGCCCGCAGAACATAAACTTATCGTGAGATTGATCGAAAGAAAATTGTGGAAAATGTATTTTATTTTGATTGACATGCCGTTTGTTACAATTACCTATATTTATCTTGGAGAATTCCTATCACCTGAAAAAATAACCAGTGAGTGTTTTCAATTTTCTGTTGTTGGATTTTTCACCCAAGTGGATCGTTACACTTGAAACCGTAATTTTTAAGGGTAAAACTGCATTTATCATGCGATGTTTTTTTTTTGAAAATTTTTTTCGGTACTCACGTATTTTTGTCTGATGAACCGAATTTTATAATGAAAATGTGAACAAACCACTATTTATTGAGATATTTCAAGAAAAAGTTCGAAATTTCGCCTTCTTTCTCCCCTTGTGTTGGGGGCATTTGAAGCTACTTGCTCTTATTTTGTCATTGTACACTTTATATACTCATGATGTACTTCGATGGCACATTTTTATATAGAAAATTCAACAGGAAATATGATTTTTATGGCGAGTTTTTCATATTTAGTGAACAAGCATTCCAGATGACGACCATTTAATCAATAGCCAATCAAAATACGAGATGTCAAATGTCAATAGATTGCTTTCGAATGACATTACACACGCCATTATTTTGAATGATATTTCTTCCTTCTTTTCACTAAATATGGATTAATCTCAAGAAAATCATATTTATAGTTGAATTATATATAAATTGTCCAATATGATGAAAAAAGAAGGGAAATTTGTTCTAAATGCCATCCAGAAGACAGGTGAAAAAAGAGGGTGAAATTTGGAACTTTTCAGTCAAATATCTTCATGATAAATATCATGATAAAAGCAGTTTTACCTTTTGTGAGTAGAGTGTTTGTAGTTCATGTTAATATGATAGTTGCAATTTGATCATTGGAATGAATTCTGCATTCATTGCCACGAGGCAATAAATGACCGTTTTCAGAAAGAAATTTGAGAATGAGAATTAAAAATGCCCGTTTATTATGAACATTCAAGAAAATTTCCTCGAATTCAGAGATGATTTTGTTGACTATAATATACGAATACAAAACTAACTGCACAATCAAAGCTTTTCTATTTTTCCTCTACTTATACTTTTTATGAGAGAGTAATTGTCTTCTATTATTAATTCATCATTATAAATTAAGCTCTGTTTACTACTGAACTTAGATACTTAGATGGAGTAAAATCCTCGCGGTGAATTGCATATACTTACCCACATTTTCGATAGCTCCTCGTCCAACGGGAAACTAAATGCATGAACTTTTGAACCACCCACATAATTCCCCCGACAAAAGGGAACACAACACTTGAAAGGCATTGTTATGTCGCCGATCACAACACAAAATATTTCACAAAACAGTAATTTTTCCGCCAATTATTTTGATGAATAAACAACAAAAGAATTCGGGACCGTTTCAAAAACATACGTGAATCACCGATGAATTAACACGAACTGACGCGTTAGTCGACAAGCGATAAAATAAAACACTGGCCTCACTTGGCGACGTCACGAGCTGTTTACGTCAGAGTCTGCTGGCTTTGTTGTATCGGTGGTAAAACGGCCTAATGCATATTTTGGGTCAGTGGTCGCTATTTCCTTCGCTCTATTCGTTTGTACAAAATGTCCTATTGTGCTCGTGTTCGAATAATGTTCAAATGTCAATTACGTGCTATCATGTCTCATATTTAAGATTGTATCACCAAACACTCTGGACTAGGATCCAAATACCCATTGCTGGTTTGAATAAACGATTCTACACCATTTTTTTTGCCTAATCTGTCGAAGCCTGTGAACTCACCGCATCAAAAACCCCCTAATAAGATTAAGCGTTTTGTACCAATTACATGAAAATAAATACAAAAGGCTCACAGTCATTTTCACACAATGTTCATGAAATTAACAACAATGGTAGATTTCGGGAGAAAAACAACTACTTTCCTGGCTAATGCCACACAGAACATTCAATTACATCCTCCAGAAATCTATGCATCTACTCATATTTCATTCTAGCTATTTCGTAGTTGAAATTACATAAAATCATATATCATACCTTATAGATTGCGCTTGGTAGGGGGTATATATTAGTTACCCTCGTCTACACCCTGAGATATGTGCACCCGATTTGTTTCCTAAAGTGTCAGAAGCTGTTTTCTACTTTGCAGATTGGATTGTGATAGCTGCAGATGAAACAAAAACATCAAACCTTAAACTTCCAAAATGTGAAGCATTGAAAACTGCAAACATCTTCATTAGGGATTTGTTGAATGCACAGTGGAAAGATGGTTATTTCATATTCAAAAATATCAGTTTTCTCCAAGTTTATATTGCTGGAACACTTGTAGATTGGTATGAACGTGGCCATAAGTTTTTTCTAACAGGTGAGAGATATGTCAAGATTATTTGCTCCGATTTTATGGTCTCCAAATTTTAGTTGATGATGGTACTAGTAATATCAGATGTATTATAGAGAAGGAAAAATTATCTCTGCTGAAACATAACATTGAATATGACGAGTCGGTGATTAAAGATCGAAATAATGTTATTTCATCGGCAACAGCTATGATTAGGGCTGCTTGCAAAATTCTAGAAGATTCCGTGCCATCAGGTACTCATGATCTGGAATTGGGTAACATTGTGAGTTGTAATTTCAAAATTGAAATTTAATGCTAAAATATGTTCTTGAAATTAATCAGTGGATCTCGTTCAAGTTATACAGTGAAAGCCAAATAACATGCACAATTCAATTATTCATGTTGGAAAAAAGTACGTTCATTTTCCGAAATTATTATTATCAATATTTTCTTTCCTGACATATTTCACTTGCCTCATTAACTCGTACACTCGTCTGCAGTGAACATGTCGCGGTTGGATGGTAGATACGCTCTTATTGCAGTGGTGATTAAGAGAGCTGACACCGTCCATGTACGACATGTTCTTTGAAGACGACTGTACATATACCAGAGATTGAAAGCTATGGTGGTATCACCAATCCGTCCACTATTATTGTATTTGCGACCACTGCGGTCAAAAGATTATCCACCGCAGGTAAATATTTTTTCTTTCAAGGTCGAATTCCTTTGAATTGAAAATTGTATTCAGTTGGTCAATAACTCGTACACTTCTGAGCGATTTGTTAACAAAGTGAACATACCGCAATTAACAGATTTCAAAAACTCTTGCCAGATATGACGTAGGTATAAAGTATATTTAGTTTTCCACCACTAGCTATAAAACATACCAGGCGTAAAGTGTGTATTTACTACCAAGGTAGTTTTCGCCATTTTATGAACCACTAGTCGATATGTAATTGTGTTTGAGTTTCTTGTTGAATATAATAAATACCAACCTATGTTGTTTATTCTTGATGGCCTAGTTAGGTTAGGTTAAGTTCCATGTGAGTGGGGCGAATACCGCCCCTCCACTGCGACCCCAGATGGGTCTATTGTGGCTATACCCCTAGAGGTTACAGTTCTCTGTGCAAACCACATCTTTTTACAAAATTCATGGTTGAATAAGGTGAGATTTGTTTAAAACTGATAGGTTCTGAATTGGCAAAGCCAGATATGTCGAACCTTAGTCTCTTATGTGTCCAAGCCGTTTCGTCTTCCACACAGCAGAACCTACAGTCCGCTTGTTGGTTCAGAGCCATCCTTCCTAGGTGGTATCACAGATTAACAAAGGTTTGTTAATCTGTGGTGGTATCTTAGACGATAGTGTCCCGTAAGCAGTCCTGTCAGAATTCGCAAGTCACCCCTGCTCCATTCTATTATCTGCCTGGTTATATTTTTCGATGGTTTAAACAAGAACGCCTTCGAATGGGTCAATCCTGGTAATTCAGACCAGTACGTGAGTCCTTTTTTTCTCCGCACAGTCCGAGATAGTTGTTTTGGCCGCACTTGTGGTGACCCCAAAGTATGGTTCTGATCCTATGAACATACATACAGATCCCTGGTTTCTTGTCCTCTAACTCCAGGCATCCACAGCATAGTAACTCTGTTGTTACCACCCAGACATACTAGGGATTCAATACAGTTCTAAAAATTGTTCTAAAATTGTTCTTATCCATCATTCGGTTGCCCTCTTAAGAGCAACCCTCAGAAGTCTCAAAGGAATGACGGGGGTCTTACCTTTTAACGTGTGATCCCAAACACTTTCTTAGGCCATCAGAAAAATTTCTGCGGTCGTGGTGGGAATCGAACCCACTACCGGGGTAATCCAACGTGGATAGAACATTGACGCTTTAACCACGAGGCTACCATACAAGCTTAGGATTGTTCTTGCTGGAGCTCAGCGCCTTAAGAGCAACCTGACTGTCTGATACAATACTGATGTTTTTGTTTACTAGAGGTCTTTTCGTCAATTCTCTAGCACACAATTCAATTGCGAAGACCTCCGCCTGAAAGATTGTAGCATACCGAGATTGGCTGAGATTTCCGTATTTGGTTTTCTTCTGAACACACCGCGGCTCCAACTCCAAGCGGGGTATTTGAACCATCTGTGTATATCACGTGTTCGGTCTCTGCAAATTGGATTAACTCTCTCACCCATTGGTCTCTATTCGGGAAGAGGACTTTCAAATACTTTTTACGTGTGTATGAGTGGCCAACGTGTCGGGAACCATTCCTAGAGCTTGATTTTTTATTTCACACAGTATCCCGGAGTGGTACAGCAGTCGCCCCCCGCTAATTTGATCTTACAATGACAGGAATCTATAAGAAACAGCTAAAATTCCAGAAGCTAAAAGTGTTGCCTAGCAACATACCTCTATTTTTGTGTCAATAATAGAAACGTCAACTTCAAGAGCTGATTTTGGAATTAAAATGGACGGCTTTTGAGTCGGTTGCAGAAAATAGTTATTTGTTTTACTAGGCATTGAAGTAAAGATTTAATGCCGCGGCTGGTGTTTCATAGCCATTACATCTTCTTTTCTGCCGTGTGAAACACATAATTTTGTCTCCAAATTCTTTTCAATTGCACGCAAACTCCAAATAATCCATCATTTTTTGTTCACTCAAAGTCATTGTCAATTTTGATTACCAATTTGATTCAAATTACTCGGAATGTTGCATAGCAACAAACTTTTTCTGCCTAGGCAGTAAAAGTACACCTTTTCTGCCTGTTAAGAGTCATTAAAAATCCACTTTTAATGTCATTTACCTATTTTTTTATCGAGAATAATTGATAAAACGCATATCATATTGAATAATGAATTTAAGATTAGATTATTTTTTAGGTTAACATATATGGTAAAATGGGAGAATACAAGGATAATAGATACATCTTCATTGAGAAAATAGTCAAAGAACCAATCGGAACGATCAAACATTGTGTTCATCTTGAAAATATGATTCATTTATACAGTAATTTTTATACTTGATCATTTTTGAAAAATATCTGTGATTAGTCATTGTTTTCATTTTTTATTCGTTTTTCACCACTGTTGCTGTTAATTGAGTGTAGTTATTTATAATGATATAGGTAATTTGAAATTTTTAAATAGTTTGATTCACTGTAAGAATATTGATTGAATTTAAATATATTTTTTGCATATTTTACTGTTACTGACTTATTTGAATTTTTCATTGCATACAATACAAATTGATATGAATTTGATGCCAGTGGCGCATTTACATTTTTGTTTTGAAGGGGCTCCATCATAGGCAAGTTTACAGTTTTTGTAAAGTAGAAAAATAATAGTTATTTATGTAATAAGGATCATAAAGACGATCATTATGGTACAAGTCGTGAATGTTATCGGGCGAGGCGTAGCCGAGTCCGATAACACGGCGTGTGCCATAATGATTGTTTATGATTCGTATTACATACAAAATTTTATCTGATGGCCTTTATTTCAATACATTTTCGAAAAATTAAAAACTGCATTTTCGACATGTCACAATGACAACTATTTTTAAAGGAGTAAGTATTGTGTAGTTTCAAATATTAGTAGGTGAGTGAGCTGTGCTTTGCCATTATATTAATATTACAAATTGTAGTAATTGTTCTTTTACCATTTATAATAAATAGTTTTGTACATAGTTATGCATTTTGAATAAACTTTTTTGATCAAACCATTACATGTTTTCCTTATAGAATTCCATTATGGTACTTAGTACCATAATGAATTCATTATGGTACTTAGTCCCATAATGAGCTTCCTTATGTCATCAAAATTGAGTGACATAACGTTGTCATTATGACATGCCATCAGATAAAGATATATATAGCACCGTGCAGGTAGGGAATTTTCATATATTCAAGTCGTAAATCTTGGAATAGTGCGTTGGGTTGGTTCAAAAAAGTATAAGAATATTGCTTTTCTGGCTACCAGCGTGAAATTTGGCATACATGATGAGAAATATATAGGAAACAAAAAAACATCGAGACACAAGCTGTGTCCGGAAAATTTCGTCCGCCATTTTCTAAAATGGCGGCCGAAAACTAGATTTTTACTGATATCTCAAGAACGGTGCAAAATTTTGGAAGAGTTCAAATTAATGAAATGAAGAACATTACAAGGCGGACATTTTTTGTCTGAAACATTTTCTTGTGAGGCTGATATTAATATTAATTGAATATATTCAGTAGAAAATCCTCGTTTTCTCAAAAAATTATTTAAAATACCAACAATTACCCCGTTACCCAAGTATCCCTACCTATTCATAAAAATCCACCTTACACACGTGTTCATCTAGAAATATAGAAGATCTTCTTTAGCCTGTTTATCAGCGGCAAGTCAAAGTGTAGGAGAAGATACAGCTCAAAACGAAGTTTCATGTTGTTCCGCTGTAGTTATCGATGGTGCTGCACTGGTTCATTCTTTGGATACAAAAACATCGAATACATTCTCTGAATATTGTACCAAAGTATTTCTGTCTGCTATAGACTTTCGTCTCCAAAAATTTGAAAGGGTGGACATAGTTTTCGATAGGTACTTGAGTTGCCTTCAAAGCTGACACAAGATTGAAAAGAGGGTCTGGAAAAGAGATTGTTGTAAGACCAACCACACCTATGCCGAAAGTCTTCAGTTCATTTTTGCAGTGAGATAACAATAAAAAACAACTATTCAAACTCCTTTCTACCAAAATAAAATCACTCGAGACTGATGGAAATTTAGTGATTTGCACTGATGAAGAATCAGTAACATTTGTTGGTCCGTTAGTTGATGGTGTTGATCTCGCACCATGCTCACATGTAGAAGCAGATATTAGACTTCTCATTCACGTAGAAAGTGCAATATTGTCGGGCCATAAAAACATTTTGATAAGTACAGTGGATTCAGATGTCATTGTTATTGCTGCTTCTAAATTCCACGAGTTGAAGCAAATGGGTATGCAAGACATTTGGTTTGAATTTGAAGTTGGAAAAAACAGACGCTATTTCTCACTGTCAGTGATCCTGCGAGGACTCTCTGTTGAAAAATGTGCTGCACTACCATTTTTTCATGCGTATACAGGATGTGATACGGTATCATCGTTTCATGGTATTGGTAAAACGAGAGCTTGGAATGTATGGGGAAGGATGCAAGGAATGACAGACGTATTCATCCGACTGTCATCAACAGATATAATAACTGAAGAAGATTTGATGATAAGATTCAGCTGTTCACTGTAATGATGTATGATGTTACCAGCCAGACAGACACAGAGTGAATGAGTGTAGAAGAGTACTGTACACTCAGAAGAATCGAAGTGTGGAGAATATTCCACCAACCGAAGGAGCATTGCGTCAACACCTAAGGAGAGCAATGCTTCAGTCGCGTATTTGGATTAAATGCCTGGAATTGCAACCATATATTCCAAATGCAAATAACTGGGGATGGAAGTCGTCAAATCTGGAATGTCAAGATGAAACGATTGAACCACTTTGGACAGTTTTGCCACAAGCATTTGATGAATGTACAGAATTGATCAGCTGCAGATGCAAAACAATGTATATTAAGAACTGCAAATGCACTGGTCTATGCACGTGTGATGGACAGTGTACTCAATAAACATTATTTGTAATACTGTTGTATTAGTTAGTTCACCAAGATTCTTACTGATCTAATCGAACCTAATTAAACATCAAGCCTATAACATGATTGATATATGATTTTATTTAGATTAAAATAATTGACCACCATTTTACGTAATGGTAGCTTCGGTTTGAATCCTCAAGAAAGAGTTCATCATACAGATGACTCATGATCATGATTTCTGTGGCTAACCTCAGCCTGAATGTTTCCATTTTGATTTTTCTTGAGAAACCTTGAAAAATTGAGTTTTAATATTGCGATTATTGGATTTTTGATTCGTCTGACAAAAAAATGTTTTGAACAAAAAATGTTCGTCTTCTATAATCTATATTTCATCAATTCGAACTTTCCCGATATTTCCCACCGTTCTGGAGATATTAGCAAAATCCAGCTTTCGGTCGCCATTTTGAAAAATGGCGGCTGAAATATTCCAGATACAGCGTGTGTCCCGATGATTTTTTGTTTTCTATATATTCATCAACATGTGTACCGAATTTCATGCTGGTAGCCAGAATAGCAATATTCTTGTGCTAACATAACGCACTAGAAAGAAAAATCTTGATCCAAGAAAATTCTCGAAAATAGGATCAATCGAATTTATTTCCTTATTTCAATTCATTGTTTTAAGCATGATAAAAAAAAAAGAAAAATTCTCACACACATCTACTGATACTACTCAAATTGAAAAATTAATCTAAATCTAATCTAAATATGGAAAAAAAATAAGCCAACATAATTTGTATGACAATGATACGACAGAAAATTTCGTAAAGTGCAAAATTACAAGCTATGAGGGCTTTCAGATGGAAGATTGAATTATACAGGCTGATTCACGGTGGATGGCACATTAGACGTTTCTGGAGAGCGCAACTCAGGATTATTCTGAAAAGTTGGTGCCTTGAATAATTAGTTGTGTTCAATCGACCTAAAATATTCTCAGCGATGCGACGTTATTGCCGCTTATATTGAAAAGTAGCACCAACTTTGATTTTTAAATGGGACACCCTGTATATTATTCCATTTTCAGATTCTTCCTGGAGAGTTGATTTCATTGACCTATAACACTTGGGATCTAGCAGTAATAATTACAGAGTTATAGGATGTGTAAAATCGAGATTTATCAACTATATGAATTTTTTGTGTCAAAACTATTCATAGTTGGTCAAAACGGTTTTCATGTCCCTATCCTAACATTTTATTCACTATCAATTGATATTTAAATGAAATGAATACAGGGTGGTTCAGAATTAAGATTTTTGACCACCACGTATCTATTCCAATTGATTATCAATTGATAGTACGTAAGTCAATACAGGGTCTTCTGTAAAGAGTGCGACAAAATTTAATTGTTCTGAACTGCAAATTTTCCAGGAAAAATATGAATAGTTAGTGAATTGAGCGTCCTGATTCCGAATCTAAAGTGATTTTCGACCTATTTTGACTCCTAATATCATTTTCCGGAAATTGGGGTGGTTCCATGGCTGTTGGCGAGCAGTGTATATCACTGAAGATGACCCCACTTGTTCATAGAGTGCATTTTTTGGTCCAGCAAATATCTGGATCCTTACCCAACGATTACGTAAGATACAGGGGTGTTTTCATCAGAAGTGGGTCACACTGTATAAATAGGTATAGGTAGGTGTATAACCTAATTAAAGTTTCCACCACCATCACTCATTCAAATACTTTCCTACTTGAAAATAAAATTGTTGATTTCGTATAATGATGATTAATATTTGACAATAAATTTTATCAGTTAATGATAAAATGCTGGCCCCTTGAACTCTTAGAACTATCATTATAGTTTATGAACTTACTATACTACAGAGGAATCTGAACAATGTTGAGAAAGTCTGTTGTGAATCTTCGCTTCGTCAAGAGATATTTTCATTCCAACGAAACAAGAATAGGTGTGCTGGGAGTACCCTTTGAAGAGGGCCAACCCAAAGTTGGAGTAGCAAATGGTCCTGATGCTATAAGAAAGGCAGGACTCATTGAACAACTTACTACAATACGTAAGTACTCTGTCGATAGTTTAATTTATTTTTAAGGCAAATAATTGTTATTTTGGAGATGAAAAAGTTGACTTGAAAGACTATGGAAACATCAAATATGAGATTATGGCCGACCTTGTGGATGAAATACAACAAAATATTCCCAATATGAAAGGGTATGCCCATGTAGCTTCTTGTAATCAGAAGTTATCCAAAGAAGTAGAACGAATTATCAGAGATGGACGAGTATGTTTGACTCTTGGAGGTGATCATGCAATTGGTAAGATTTACTTGTACTATTTTTCAGGTTATTTTCAACAAATATCTGTTTCAATTTCCGCAAATAATTTTTTTTCGCTAGAGACGCACCAAAGAGAATCCCTATAAGTATCTCATTTAATAACATATAAATGATATATCGGGTGATTCAGGTTCTAAGGTACAAACTAAAATAAACTGCTCCACATTTGAAGTGAGACAAGCAAAAACTTCTATCATTTTCGAACCGTCATAACTTTGGAGTGGATCAACCAATTTTCAATTCTTTTCAAGATTCTGATAGCTCATTTCATTGGGTACAACGTCAGTATTTTTTTGTTATTTCACCTTTTCGACATGAAGACCTACTGGGTGATATCTGAAAATGTGATAATTTTCGAGAAGTTTGGGATCACCCCGTTTCACCGGGATTTTTTTATGTTTTATTGAGGGCGATAAAATGACGAACAATGAGTTTTCTCGAAATGGTTTTGAATTCAAGAGGATTCATAACAGGATGTTTGGATGTATGGAGTTTTTCACAACATATTGCATTCTGATATGTTCAACCACCATAAACTCAACTACAACAGAATTTTAGATTGGCATATTTTCAACGCCATTACTACACAATGTGTTGTAGATTTTCGAAAATAGGGGATGTAGAAATAAATTGAAATATTACGAAAAAAATGCCGTTCATAATAATTATTTACACAATATTTATAATGAAAAAATGATAAGTATATAAAATTGACATGGGGCGGTATCATGATGAATCGTTGCCCCACGTAGGATATCTTGAGAGAGTATGAATACTCTTCGTTATCAATAAGACATTCATTGTGTTAGGGAAGTTCATACTGGTTGATGATAATGATAATGAACTACCTACCACATCGTGCGAGAATTGTCACTGAAGTTTGAAGACAACATAATATTGCCTACTATTTCTCTGTCACACGTCTTATTGAGCATATGGAAATTTCTAACGAGAATATCTTCGTAATCGTTCGAAATAACTCTCTCAAACCCAGAATTGTTGAATTCGTTATGATACTCCCTAACCACATATGGAATAAAATACAGGATGTCTCATTTGAAAATTGAAAGATGGGGTCATTGCTGGTCAAACCGGGAAGTGATGGGAGAGTATGGAATTTCGAAAAATTGACCAATTCTCGAATTTTAAACCCGTGCCAAATTCGAATCTCATACCTCTGGAAATCTGAAAACCATGGTTTGTCTGAAAAATTCGATGATACCCGGTATGTTTGAAAATGTACAACACATTGTATAGTGATAGCGTTGAGCTGGATAAGCTAATAAAGTTCTGTTGAAGTTGAGTTTATGTTGGTTGAACATCATGCAATATATTGTGAAAAATTCCATATATCACAACTTCCTGTATGGATCTTCCTGAATCGAGAAGCATTTCGAGAAAACTCAATATGCTTCATCTTATCGTCCTCAATGAAACCTAATGAAAATCCCTGCCAAACGGGGCGATCTCAAACTTGCCGGAAATCGCAATATAATATAATAATAAATAATGTCCATATATCGAAACATCCTGTATAAATCCTCTTGAATCCAAAACCATTTCGGGAAAACTCATTGTCCTTCATTTTATCGCCCTCGATAAGACATAAAAAAAATCCCGTTGAAACGGGGTGATCCCAAACTTTTCGAAAATTATCACTCTTTCAGATATAACCCTATAGGTCTTCATGTCGAAGCGGTGGAATAGCAGGCAGAAAAGTACTGACGTTTTACTCAATAGAATGAGCTATCAGAATCTTGAAAGAAATTGCGATGAAAATTGGTTGATCCAATCCAAAGTTATGACGGATTGAAAATGATAGAACTTTTTGCTTGTCTCACTTCAAATGTGGGGCAGTTGTGTTGCACATTTTCGCACAGAAAAGTGCTATTTTTTAATCATTTTGCTCAGGATACTGATTGGTACAGGTGCCGTTCGATGAACTATAATGTTTTTACTTTCCTTTGGGACATAAATAATTTCGTTATCAGATGACGTTAGAAATCTGCAGTCGGCTCTCCTACTATTATAAACAAAAAGTGTTTATGTTGAAAAATTGAAGTTATCATATTTTTTGTCATTATCCGCTGCGAATTTGATTTTCCTGGTGACTTCAAGAAATATTATGAGTGAAACCATGCATCTTTTGTTAGAAATATTTTCTTCCTTCTCTAATAATGAGTGCTCTACTATAAGGGTATTTATTTATTTATTTATTTATTTATTGCATTTATTAACTACATTATTTGTTGAGACAACTAATTTATTCGTTTGATACAAATACCATCATCTGCTACAAATATCATCGATCTGCTACAATAACTATTAGTAGTGACCCGAACTAAGTATCCTACTTAATTGTGACTAATAGAATAGTAGGACAAGTAGTAACCGCAAAAACCTTGTGAATGAAACAATAAGCTTTCGATTTGTTACAAACAGTTGTTTCCAAAAATCAAAATTAGTTGCAGCAACAACATAACCTTGCTACCCATATCGTACTAATTTGTTTGCGGTAGTTACTATGTTTTTAGTATTGGCTACAATTTTTTTCCTCAATGTAGGTAGGTACCTCTGTGGAACCGATGTCAATCGACAATTCGAAATCTTAGGACAAAAAATAGAACCTTTATAACATGATAATACAACTGTCAGAAATTCACTACTACTAATAATAAACTTGATATTTATTGTCAGGTACTTACATAACAGAATAAAGAACATGAATTATTTAAAGATAAATGTGGCCGCTCCAGGGACCGCAAGCTTTCCTAGTAGACGAGCAATAATTGTAGTGAGAATAGTTATTTGTTTAACTAGGCAGCAAAGTAGTAGATTGACTGCCGAGGCTGAATTCATAGCCGAGCGTAGCGAGGCTAGGAATCCAGCTAAGGCAGTCAATCTACTTTGCTGCCGAGTTGAACATATGATTTTTTCTCGGATTGTTCATAATGATATAGGAGGATATTGTAATTGCAAATTATTACAATTCCCACAATCTCTTTATTTTTCCTGTAGTGTTCAATTAAAATGAAATTTGATAGAAATCGCAGTTTTCCATGATAATTATAGTTTGACAATTCATGAAATTTCTGACAGTTGTGCGAAAAAATATCGGTATATTTAAATTATTATATGATGGACAGTGATAGCGACCTGGAAGTACTTACACCTCCAGAAATAAGGGAGGTGGCAAAAAATATAGAATTGAATTTGTTTCCGGAGAAGTCTCGGATGAAATATGAAGGAAATTATAAACGATTTATGGATTATTAATTTTGCTGATACATATCAATCAGCAAAGTATATACTTTGCTGCCTAGGCAGGAAAAGTAATACTTTGCTAATTGATATGTGTCAGCAAAATTAATATATGCTGCCAATCGGAGAAAAACTCATTTAACATTAGGAATCTAAATCAGGCTATTTTGTCAAATCTGTGAATAAAATTGAGTTGAAAATATACTAATCTAATATTTCATAGGTACGCTGAAATTTGGTAGTGGCAGTGTTGTTTTACATTTGTTGAAGAAAAGCGTGTTTTCAACATTGAATTTATCAAATAACTTCACTTAGATATTACAAAATCACGTATATTATTAATGCATAACCTCATCAACCAGATCTTTACCTATAATGTCCGATGATGAATTACATTATTGCATTCAATATACATAATATACACTATTACAGAAATGCCGATTATCTATGACGAATATCAGCTCTCAGGCAATGGTTCTGCAGAGTTATCACCACCAAATTTCATTCATTTATCCGTGTTTGGCGTTTAGGATTGTTGACATATACTTTTTAATGATTGATGATTGCTATTTACGCTGAGGATTCACCCAATGTGCTAAATAATAAATCCATTGCAGCTGTAGGAACAGTGGATGGACACATAAAGGCCAAAAACGAAGATTTATGCATCTTGTGGGTAGATGCTCATGCCGATTTGAATACGAACAGAACTTCATCGTCAGGAAACGTCCACGGAATGCCAATGGCGCTTCTCGCTTCTGAACTGGCCGACTACTGGCCATACTTGCCAGGAATGGACTGGCAGAAACCTGTAATATCTATTAGGAATGTTGCCTACATAGGATTGAGGTCCGTCGACTCTTACGAAAGACTGGTGATAGACAAACTGGGAATAACGGCGTTTGGAATGGAAGATGTTGAGAATTATGGAATAAGCACGGTTGTGAAGATGGCTCTGGATAGGATTGATCCAGAACGGAAGAGGTCCATACATGTCAGCTATGATATCGATTCACTCGATTCTTTGGAGGCTCCTAGTACAGGAACATCAGGTGAAGACCCATTGATAGTTACTATTGGTATTATTATTGATATTCATCATTTTTGAAAGTATACTTGATGATCATTCTTATTTGTGTGAACTTAGGACGGATTTTATTTCTGAGAAAGTAACACTTTTCTGACCTGGTCCGGGAATCACGTATTTCGCTTGATAGCATTTTCCAGAAAAGTCGGAGATTTCATAGCTGATGGCGAGCAGTGTTATCACTGGATATGATCCTTGGTCCTTGGCTCTCTCGCAGTTGCGAATTTCTGAGTCCTACCTCAATGATTATTAGGAATGTGACACACTGGATATATTTTTTCAAATATTTATGAGTTGACATATATGTATTTCAATTGGAACACCAGGGATTATCCAACGTCACCCTGTATAACATTTCTAATGATGCCAATGGATCCCAAGCTTCATAGTGAATGAATAAACTTGAAATTTTTCAATATCTCTCGGCATGAAGTACAGTCGTATCCAATAAAAAACCGTACAAGTATTGAACATAGAAGATTTCGGCATTCTAGTGTTCGTTGTGTAAAATTGTCTCAGCCAATGCTTTGTGTTTTTGGGAACCTATGATTACTCTACTGTCAACATTTGGTAAACATTAATTCCCGATAACCCGTTTTACGCAAATAGGATGACGTTATTTTCTCCCTCCAATATACTTGTACGCTTTTTTTTGAATACGACTGTACTAGACCAAGGTCGATAATTTTCGAAACCGAAAAAAATTATTGTAGATTGAAACCCATTGGAAAAGGAAGTGAATATAACAAAGATGGAAGGAAAAATAAATTACGGGCGATTTGAGGTCGGGAAGTGGAAGGAGGGTGAGCTTTCAAGGGTAGAAAAGGATTATCCCGATTTCTGATTGAGTAGCGAAGCTGTAGGTAACAAGAATATCACTAATTTTTGTCCCCACACTTTTTTCACATAACCTCAAAATTTATGTGAAATATTCAAATAACTAAATTTTTGTATTTTTATTTGTATCTTTAACAAAGCGATTTTTTTCATTTCAGTTTTTTGATTTGGAATATTCATTTTTTTCACCTTATAATGACTTGATATCAAAAAAACACCATAATTTTCAATCGAAAATTCTCGCGTTAAAATATCTGCTTTTGGAAGATATATACAATTATACATTACTAGGGTAAATGTATTCAGAAAATGCAGAAAAACGAAACTCGGATCCGAATTTGTTTTGAATTGTTATGTACAATTTTGAGCTATTTATAAAACTTGACACTACTCGAAAAACTAAAAAAATACAAATATCTTGAACATTAAGATTGCAAAGTACATGAGAAAATTATAAAGATACAATAGGATTTGAAGGGGATTTCATCTAAGAAAGGTGACTGCTGCTTTTCAGTTTCTTTGCATTTTCTGAGAACTGTTACCCTAGTGATAAATATATTTAAACCATCAAACAGTAGAGATTTCAACGTACAAAAGCCATCGTCTTTTCTGAAAAAGCAGATATTTTGACGCGAGAATTTTCGATTGAAAATTATGGTGCTTTTTCGATATTGGTATAATAAATAAGGTGAAAAAATTAATATTTCTAAACAAAAAAATCACAGTGTTACACTGTCAGTGTATTTGGGACACAAAGAGGCAAGTTTTCACCAAATTTCGTGAAAAAGTATTTTTTTGTGAAAGATAAAAACTGAAAGTCAAAAACTTGGTTATTATTTGAATTCGAAAGTTATTGATCTTTGTATCACCTACAACTTTGCCGTTTAACTTTTTCCCATTGGACTTGTAGTTTTGCCGGCAATCAGAAAATCCGTTTTATACCTGCGAAAGCTCACTCCCTTCCACTTTCCGATCTTAGATCGTCCGTAAATTATTTTCCATTTCATCTTTGTTATATTCTCTACTTTTTCCAACGGTTTTTATTCAACTATATATTTTTTTTAATTTTCACCATTTTCAAAGGCTTGAGCACTGGTACTCAGAAAATACAAAGGAAATCGTCAATTTTTCAATTGTCCCCTGTATCTGAAACGAATCAAGATATCAAAAATCCAATTGTGCCATTTTAAGTTTTTCTAAAATCGAGCCCGTAACGTAACATGTATATCGGATTTTCGATAACTCCTTTAGTTATTGAGATAGCGCGTTAAAACAAAAACGTCCAATCTTGCACACCCTGTTACATGTTTCATAATTATGGTTAGAAAGAACGACAGATGACCAAATGCAATTCTGATTGGCCAATAGGGTTACTAAATAACTAGAACTAGCCAGAAAATGATTGGGTTGGTGACAGTGCTTCCCAATTTTTACATCGTGTGACGTGTGATCATTATTTTTCTTACTTGCCATCAAAAAATCTTCCAGAACAAGAACGATTGTTTGATAGGGCTCTGAAAAGAAATTATATTGGAAAACCACATTCATGATTTCTCAGTAATTAGAACCCGCTAAATTTTCAGTTTGTAACATTTCTTTTCAGTGCGAGGTGGATTGACATTGAGAGAAGGAATCCAAATAATGGAAATGATCCATAGCACTGGGCGTCTGGGTGCGATGGACCTTGTAGAAGTGAATCCCAGTATAGGGTCGGAGCAAGATGTCAAACGAACAGTCGATGCTGCCATCCACATCATCATGGCGGCAGTTGGGCACAGCAGGAGAGGTTTGAGACTTAAAGACGTTGATACATTGCCATTACAAACGTTTCCACCAACCCGACAATTGATTTGATCAATTTGGATGTTACCTAATTCATGATTTCATTATTTATTAAATGTTCGATTCCGATTCTTTCTATAGATAATGCTAACTGAGAGTAATAAAATTTATCTTTTATATATATTATACCTATATTTTCTTGCCCTTACTGTTATTGGAGACATTTTGGAAAACATATTTTTTCACACGGTGCCTAGAAAGCCTAGAAATTGTAATTTTTAAATCAAACACAGTAATTTTTGGTTTTCTCGAGTTTTCTGGGTTTTGCTTATTTTTTTAGGGCCAATTTTATAATAATTAATTATACTATTCATGCTGACGATAGAGTACTTAAAAATGAAAATCAATAGCGTCTCAGTTGTTTAGAATAATTTATTTTTCAAATGTTTTTGTATGTTAGATAACCCAGATTGGTTCATTGTACCAGTATATCACCTGACAAAGCTACTCTGTTAGCGAAACATGTTGTGTGTTTAAGAATTTTGTGGAAATCTTATCGTTTGTGAAGTTTTTACATTTGCCATGGATTTCTATCAAGTAACGGTAAGTCAATTCAAAACCCAGATATCTGCTGGTCAAAAGTTCTGGGACACCCGCTACCTATTTTACATTTGATTTACCAAGGAACTATAACATTTATGATCACCACACTTGACAACATGACTTATATCACCTTGATTTTGCTATAACTTCATAATACATCAAAAAGATTCACTAATTTTGCTCAATTTGAATATAATAATAAGAAAAATTATTGCAGAAATATAATACATTTCAAATATGAACTCAAAATAACTTATCAATTCATTTCATTACCTTTTACAGTCGTATTCAATAAAAAAGCGTACAAGTATTGAAAAGATAGGATTTCGGGATCCTAGTTCTAGTTGTGTAAAACTGGCTCAGCCAATGCTTTGTGTTTTCGAGAACCTATGACAACTTTACTGTCAACATTTGGTGAACAATCATTCCCGATACCCCTTTTTATGCAGAATAGGATGACGTTAATTTCTCTCTGTGATATACTTGTACGCTATTTTTTGAATATGACTGTACAGTGTGTCCAGTTTTCGATGCTTTTGCATGATATCTCAGTTATCTTTGAAGATAGAACCTTGCGGTTTTCGCGATCCTGTGCCACTTTTTTGTTAAACTCAAGATGGCCTAATCAGATTTTGCATAACTGTTTCCGTTAATGAGATACAGGGCGATTTTGAAAATTTATACTTTTTGGACCCCCTCTATATCTACGAAGTTTATCAGCGAAAATGTCAAACTAACATCTTAACCCATAGAGAATTTTATGCAGAATCCAGTGGCGCACAAAAAATTTTTTTTCGGGGTATGGTTTTGAAGATACGACTCAAACTTATGATTTTTTAAATTGAACACCCTGCATTTTATAAGCTCATTGAATTCCCTATTTTTTTCCCTTCGAAATGATATATGATGTATGAATATAAAATTTTCAAAAATTTTCAAAAATCACTACAACATTGAATTTTAATAGTGGGTTATGGGTTTTTCGAGGGATTTTCATATAACGTAATTTACAAATGAAGGAATATTTCCTTTGATTTCTCCATGAAGGGGGTAATAACAATATCAACACAAATTTCGACTTACATACATGATATCCACAAATATAATATAGTAATAAAAAGTTTATAATGTAGAATAAGCACCTGATTGAATATTTACTAAAACAATTGAATTTCGAAATTATTCAGTAATTTATTCATTGAATTGTTCAAATTGATGTCCATTTTCCATCACAAACTTTCTCAATACATATTAATCATTGAATGATGTTTTTGTAATTCCTGGAAAACTGCCTCTGTTGTTGCACAAAGTTCTTCAAGTATGTTGGGCCACTCACTGTATTAAGAAGTATTGAGAAAGTTTGTCAACTGTATGTTAGGGAAAATGGACATCAATTTGAACATGTCAATGAATAATTTACAGAATAATTCTGAAATCCAATGGTTTTAGTAAATATTTAATCAGGTGCTTATTCTACATTATGAACTTTTTATTACTATTTATTTGTTGCAATCAGGTAACCAAGTTCAGTGTTTTGTTAATTAATTAGTGTTGATATTGGTTCTGACCACTCCATGGAAAAATTTAAAGACATATTTCTCCAATTGGAACATTTTTTTATAAGAAAAATCCATAGCCAACTGTCAAAATTCAATATTTTAGTGATTTTGAGCAATTTTGAAGATTTTATATACATTCATTATATATCATTTTGAAGGCAAAAAAAATAAGGAATTTAATGATCATATGAAATACAGGGTGTTCCATTTAAGTTTGAGTCGTATCTCCAAAACCATACCCCGAGAAAAAAAATTTAGTGCGCCACTGGATTCTGCGTAAAATTCTCTATGCGATGAAATTCTGGTTTGACATTTTTGTTGAGAAACTTCGTAGATATAGAGGGGGTCCAAAAAGTATAAATTTTAAAAATCGCCCTGTATCTCATAAACGGAAACAGTCTTGCAAAATCTGATTAAGCCATCTTGAGTTTCACAAAAAAGTGGCACAGGACCGCGAAAACCGCAAGGTTCTATCTCCAAAGATAACTGAGATATCACGCAGAAGCATCGAAAACTGGACACACTGTACATTACTATTTACTACTAATTGGTCTTGTTCACCAAAATAATATAAATTACATGATTTTGTTTTTAAAAATTTTGTGGAAATCATGACAGCTGTGAAGTTTTCACATTTACTTGATTTTACTATCGATTTCCAGCAAGTAACGGCCGAATCAATTCAAACCTCTAGCATTGCCAATAAGTGTCAATCTAGCAAGTTGAGCACTTAAACCGCACGGCCGCGGATCTTAATGAAATAAATATCGGGCTTATTTTCTGTCCTCATTTTTTTCCGACACAAAGAGTATCCGTTGACATCTTAGCTACAAATTGCCGATTTTGAAGATTATTTGGTATTTGAAAATCACCATCATATTATGGAAGTGGAAAAGGCAAATATAGAGATTTATAAAACAAGAGAGAATGACGGACGTATAAATATTCATTTCACACAAGAAAAAAATGTATAATATATTAGTAAATGAACTCACCTAGTCCTAACGCTTCCTCTGGCTTTACCCGAAATATTCCTCGGTGAGAATGCCGAACTTGTTAGCTAGCAGTCTCTTTCAATGTAGACCGGTCTTTGAACGCAATCTTGGCCATCGACGAAGCTCTGTCATAACCTATATGAGGATTCAACGCAGTGACCAGCTTGAAAGAGTAAACCGTATCACTCCTTACTTGCCTGTGCGTGATATTTGGAAGTTCTGGTTCAAATATTTGAATTAACATTTTCCTTAGTCAAGCATAACCGCCAAACCAAGTTTCAACAACTAAGGTCCTGATAGTCTAAGATCCCACTGCAAGATTGATGAGAAATTAACATGGGGAAAGCATATTGACATCCTCATAGGAAAAGTATCTCCCATTATTGGTGCTTTGAGAAGATGTCCTAAACTTAGTACATATACATCAAATATCATTCTCTATTCACATATACTCAGTCGAATTAACTATCTCATAAATATTTGGGGATCTTGTTCCAAAAATAGTTTCAACAAAATTTCTATTCTATATAGAAAGGCATTGAAAGTATTGTACCGTCTTCCATATGACACTCCAACGAATCAACTGTATAAGGAAACAAACACATTTTCTTTGGAAGAGCACTTTTTAATCAATACTCTCAAAATTTCCTATTATATCATCAACAAAAAGCTTAAATAAAATTTTATATTAATGAGGAATTCCGAAATTCATGATCATCACACTAGGCAATATAACTTGTTTCATCTTGAAGCTGCAAATTCTAAACTTGGGCAAAAAAAGTTCACACATGAGGCGATTTCGAAATGCAATAAATTACCAGATGATATCAAAAACAGCCCAAATATTATGCAATTCAAAAATAAAGTTAAGAAATATATTTATATGCAAAGGAATGATCAAAGCTGAAAGACCATGAATTTCCTTTTTTCTTTTTTTTTTTTTCACTGTTTTTATTTTTCCCCTTCTTGTTCACTATAATATGACTGTATCTTAATGATATGTAAGTTTTGTTCACTATTTGTAATTTCAATTATACAACAGTCGATAATACTTCATGAATGATCTTATACCAGGAATTACTGTCTGATCATTCATGTCATTCCTACTAGAAATTAATTATACTTTATATATTATTTGTATGAAATGTATCAATGAAGAAAAGAATGTAATGCAATAACTGAAATAAATAAATAAATGCTATGGTAAAAAAAAAAAAAAAAGATTACTAAGTTCATCAAGTATTTAATGAAAATCTAATTTTAACATACATTCATGAATAGGAGAATATATTTTTACCGGGTTTTCTATCGAAATATGCCACAAGTATTTTTAAATAATATTGATTGATTTTCTGGAAAAAAATCATTCTACTATGTATGTGAATAACTTGAAGTGATGGTTGCTGTTGCGCACCTAGCGGCAAACTTTTTGCAGCTAGAGTGCCTCAAATATCCCATTAAATGCCCTTTAAAGAGTGTGGATACGCTTTTCACCACTGACCATTTATTTTTGGGTTACCCAAAGACGAGAAGACATTTCAAGTTTTCGTTAAAGCTTCAAATTCCAATATTCATTTAGAAAATACATGGATACATACATTGATATTACTACTAAATAGGCCTTTGGTGTCACGCCACTGTTAGGGTTTCATAATAATAATAATATGTGATGAATGGATTCACCTTTACAATAGGAATTGATTACATATGATCAAGATAGCATAAGGACAATAACAAAACAGCATCTTCAAATGAAATTCAACAAATTTAACTTTTGGTAAACAATACGATTTGTTTCCTAAGTACAGCCAATGGGTTGAACAATTAAATTATGCCCAAATAAGAAAAAAAAAGATGAGAAAAAAAAAAGAGAAAAAAGTATCAACTAAATTAATGGTGATTAACCTAGGATCAATTTTACAAATTCAATTTTCAAATATGGCTAAAGACTGAACGAACGGGTCAATTTTAAATGCATTGAAATTACGCAAAATGCGCGAAAAAGGGCTGAAGAACCCAGTTGGTTCTACAAGTATTTATAACAAATAATTCTGTGGGGGAATATTGAAGTCCATAGGAATCAATTTCACCTGATAATCTTAAACATAGTATAACTATCTAGCCTAAAGCGACTTACAGATAAATTAGTTAGGTTGCGGATATCCAGAGTATCTGAATAGTTGATATGATGGTAGGTTTCCATTTTGTAGGATGTGTGATTAGCGAATCTTACTTGTCTTGTTCGATTAGTATGATATCACACGCAGAGTATGGTGACCAAATAATACAGCCATAGTCCAATAAGGAACGTACAAAGGAGCAGTACATTTATACAATTTGTTGCATAAGTAATTTTTTGTATTACGCGATAGAAAACCTATTGACGGATGCTGATACTTTCAGTAGATGACCTTGAAGGTGAGACGTTCATCAAAGATGATTCCAAGATCTTCAATCGCGGTTACTTTTGTCAAGATGGTGTTGTTAATATTGTAATTATAAAACGAAACATGAGACCTGGAAAACGATATTGTAAAAGTCATCACCAAAAACCAAGAAGCTTGCACTTTTGAATAAATCGGAAATATCAAAAATTGATTATAGGGAATTAATTTTAAAATTTATAATCAAGGGAAATGATTATATGAAAGGGAAAAAAAGATTAAATATAAAATTAAATTATAGGGATTAATATAAAGTTAGAATAATTAAAGGGATAATTATTTAGATATTTATATTAAAATTTAGTTTTATAGGGGATTTTAATCTTTATTGGATTTATTTAACTATATGGGGAAAGTTAATTAAGTTTAATTTTTGTAGGGGGGGAACATCGCTTTTTTATGTGTTTATCTTATGTTAAATAATTATTATAGAAAGATTGGAAAGTAAAGGTCCACAGTGAGAGCCCTGAGGGACCCCTTATGTGACCAGAATATCGTTAGATATATAATTATTGATTTCAACTCTTTAAGAGCGGCAAGTGAGGAAACTATGTAGCCATTTAACGACATTATCCGCAAAGCCAAAAGAACGAAACATATGGATCTCATGTTTTTTGAGTCGTTTAATAATATGACATCCACACTCTTTAAAGGGCGTGAATTGAGATGTTCCAGGCATTCTATTTGCAGCCAGGTGAAGACAGGTATCATTCTGTTACCTTTATACGTTCATAGCGCTCATTGATCATTTTTATTGTGTGCATGATGGAATAACTCTGCCAATGCAAATGTGCCAGCTGTTAAAGATATATTAGACCGAAAGAGAGTTTAGCGTGTAACATCGCTCATAAGTCATTGCGCATGCGTCGAAAGCTAGTGTTCTCAACCAATGGCGCAAACCCTAGTAAATGAAACCTCGGATACTTATGTGAAAGAATTAGTTACATTTTTTAGACAATCTGTATATACCTGAACACGTCAGCAGATCCCAGTGTCAATAAAATGTCATAGTAAATGTAAAAACTTCACAAACGATAAGATTTCCACAAAATTTTATTAAACACACGACATGTTTCGCTAACACAGTAGCTTCGTCAGGTGATATACTGGTACAATGAACTAAACTAACGTTGGCTTGCTTAACTTTTATATATACGGTATACCGTAATTTAATGTAGATATTGTGATGTAGATATTGTGCCTAATTACCGAAAATGAAGGTTTATCGTACCTGTCCACAGGTAACTAATCCTTCAGTTTGGGAAGGTAAGATATATAAAAGTTAAGCAAGCCAACGTTAGTTTAGTTCATTGTACCAGTATATCACCTGACGAAGCTACTGTGTTAGCGAAACATGTCGTGTGTTTAATAAAATTTTGTGGAAATCTTATCGTTTGTGAAGTTTTTACATTTATCATGGATTTCCATCAAGTAACGGCCGAGTCAATTCAAAAAAAAAAAAAGGTATGTTCGTTTGAATTGCTGAACTTGCTAACGTTGATTTTTTCCCATAGTTGTCTGTGTTCAGGGCATGATGTAAACAGAGAATCAAGTCATAGAAAAAAGTCAAGTTTAGCAGGTTTTGCTCTACAAAGGAACTTTTATTTTTCATGCGATGGAACAATAACTTTAAAAATCACTTTTTGAATGTTGCATTATTGAAGTCGAGCACATTATCGCCTTTATGACACAGACGGCACTCCTTAATGTTTTCAAACAACAATAAAAACAATGCTGTGTATCACGCACTCCAAAACAACGTGAGCATCTAATGATCAATTGATATCATTTTGAATAATAGTAATTTACGTAACAAGTCCGGAACATACTGCTTTTTTGGACGAGTAGACAAAATTCTAGGCCTAGCCGTAGGCGAGTCCTGGAAGTCTGCGAGTCCAAAAAAACTGTTTTTGGACGTGTAATGTACACTATTTTTTCGGCAACCATGTAGAATAACAAATCATTGAGACACATTTCCATATTATATTTCTTTGTATGATAAAATGTCTTCTTTATTAATCCTCATTTGTATCAAATACTGAAATTTTGAACAGAATACCTATACCTACTAACTGTTACATTGAAAATTTCGAATGGACATTTTCAAACTCACTATCGCAGATGCTTTCGATAGTTTCTTGGATAATTGCAACGAAACTTTCAAAACTCAAAATGTCTAATTTCATGTCAAATATCTGTCAGTCGATATTTCACTGCTATGGTAATTATCATTTGCATTTACAAAACCATATCTACCAAGATTTGCATAGTTCAGTGACAACAACGATGTGAAAATGCTCCTTTCTCAAAGAAAAAGCGTCCGGGAAGCAAGCACTTTCCGGACGGTTGGAGAAAAAAATACTTAACCACATTTCGATAGGCAACCTGGTGAAAATATATTCTCCTATTCATGAATATATCTTGAAACTAGATACTCATTGAATACTTGAACGTGGCAATCTTGCAGTCGGATTTCGTACTATGACAATGTCGATAGAAATGATAACTTGAATCAAATCAAAATGAGACCACATTTTGTTGATTTGAAATTATCTTTTATTCAAGAGAGTGGGGTAGGTTAAACAGAGATTCAAGAAACAACAACTGATTATGGGGAGTATAAATAAATATTAATTTCAATAACAACAAAAATTCGATATAGTATATACAAAACATAAGTAAACGGACTTACTTAGGCCCTAACATTTCTTCCGGCTTCACCCACTCGTTGAACTGTTCCTCGGTGAGAATCCCCAGCTTGATAGCAGTCTCTCTCAACGTGGACTTATCCTTGTGCGCCGTCTTCGCAATCAACGCTGCCTTGTCGTACCCGATATGCGGATTCAAAGCAGTAACCAACATCAAACTCTCATGTAACAGCTTATCGATCCTCTCCTTGTTAGCCTGAATCCCATCCACGCAGTTGGTCGTGAAGGCCTTGCAGCTGTCGCCGATCAGCCTGATGGACCTGAGCACGTTGGCCACCATCATCGGCTTGAACACGTTGAGCTCGAAATGGCCGTTCGAACCGCCTATCGTGACGGCCACGTGGTTGCCCATCACTTGCGCTGCCACCATGGTGATGGCCTCGCATTGGGTGGGGTTCACTTTGCCCGGCATGATCGAACTGCCCGGCTCGTTCTCGGGCAGCGAGAGTTCTCCCAAGCCGCAACGCGGGCCGGAAGCCAGAAATCTGGAAGTCAATTGAATAAAATCAGCAAATTATCGAAGGTGACATCTCAAGAACAAGACCCACAGCTGACGATTATTTCAACTTGTAATACCACTACAGGTTCAAAAATTCCTGGGAAATTAATTTATTTCAGTTTGATTTACTCTAAATTGCAGTATCTGATATCGATCTGGGGTACTGCAGCAAAATCTGTTTTGAAACCTCTGAAATCTCTTCAAAATAAAGTCATAAAATGTATTTATAAACTACCATTTCTGGAATCAACATCTATACTATACAAACCAAGAGATCTACTAGATATTGACTCTCTCTTCAAAATGAAAGTATGCATTTTCATTCATTTCACTAAAAATAAGAAAAAGCACTCGAATCTTACTTACAATATCAATTCTGATACCCATGAGCATCACACCAGACAAAGTGAACATTTGAAAACTGTCAAAATAAAAACCCAAATCGGGAAAAAATCATTGTATTTTTGTGGAATAAATATTTATAATAGTCTACCCAACAGAATACTATTAGATTCGTCACAAAATTTGAGTGTGAACTGAAGAAATATATTTTATCATTTAACTCTCTCCTTGTATCAATTAATTCTGATTGAACTGTTTACCTTTCATTGTATTGCATATTTGATTTTTTTTTTGTTTCCCTCTAGAAACATTGTATGTTTCTTGGGATCAATAAATGTTATTATTATTATTATTATAATTTAACCTCGTGTGGTATTCGGTAAGAAAAGTTCGGACCAGACGTAATTTAGTTTGAGAAGTGTCATTTTCCTGCAGTAGTGCGGGGAAAACATTTATATAATATTCTCGCAAGATATGAGTGGTGGGTGACACAATATGAAAATTTTAGGTTTTTAATTGCAGTATTTACTATTTAGTAAGTTTGTACAAAATCATCCATCAAATTGCATTATTTATTGTGAAAATGAAGAAGTATTGAAAAATAATAATTGATTGTTATATAAATCTCCCTGTAGCCTTTAATTGATCTGATGTGGGAAACAATTGTTGTCATGTCAATCAAAACACAAATTAGCTAGTAGAGATGTTCTGCAATCACATTTATTTGCTTGTTTACCTCCGGAACCGTTTTTCAATGTCATTTAGAGCAAGACACAATTTATTTGAAGCGTTCTGTAATTTGAAAGCCAGAAAAAAAATTAGATCGTTCTGCTCGAATTATTGATTCAGAGGAATCAGATATATTTCAACTTTGACAGCTTCTTGTTGAATGACTGCAGACTGAAGGTCAGTTATTGGAGTTGGAGCACTGGTTTCTGGTTTGGTGTGAGTCTGAATTGAATTCATTTGTTCAGTATGAGCAGCACAGTTTGTATGAGTCATAGATGAATACGCGAATATAAAGCCCAATGTGAACGAATAAGATATTATAGTTTACACAGAAAAAAGCGTGCCATAATAGAAAATTAAAACATTTTGATCCAATTTTTATTGGCATTGCAGTAGAAGACTCCCCGGTCCCCAGGAGTGTTCTTTTATAACATTTATCTGTTTGCTCCAGAAGTCACATGACTGAAAATCTTCTCCCTCTCACTCTGCTCTCAGATGCGGTTACAGAACATATCTAGTGTAATTCTCAGTGACAGACAGAGCGTTACTGTCATTTTCGATAATGTGGAATTGCGATGAAAAACTTCCAGTTACAGATGCGATACAGATGAGTTATTGCCAACGAAGTTTTAAGAAAGGTATGAGAAGCACTACACGGGATTCATTGAATGGTGCAATAGTAAAAAAGTGAAAACACCAAATAAAGAAGAATTTTTTTGGCTCATTTTTTATAAATGTCTGAAACCTAGAGGCCAAACACCATGGGCATGCTGGCTTCCGCAATAAGCTTACTTACATAATGCTTTTAAATGGTACACACAATAGATATATCACTAATTATTAGAAGATAGAGAATATATCACTATTATTAAGGTGAATTTATGCAGCAACATTTAACAATTATCAAGTAGCATTTATCATTTAACAAGTAGCAATCAAAAGTTCAACTTCCTGTTTTCAATGAGGGTGTTTATGCAGACATTTAACAATTATCAAGTAACAAGTAAGAAGTTGGCCAACTTTTAACTTTCTTACTTTAATTGAACCAGGTTTTCTTCTAGTGCGCAACTGGTACGCAGATGACCGCGGATTGGTTTAATCGACTGATAGAGAAAGCATGAGATTGGTCAGATCTTGAGCCTGACAGATGTCATCAGATGATGGAAATTAACCTAAAGTAAAATATTTTGTTTCTGTACTTTTGTAGTGAGATAGTGGACAGTGTTTTGTTGGGATTCAAGTTTCAAGTTTTTACTCAGTTTATTGTGTCATTGTCGGTTGATAATGGATCTAATCTAGATGATGTGATTTTAGTTGACATGGTTCGTCAATTTTCAGTACTGTATGATAAATCACACAAGGATTTTAAAGACAGAAATATTAAAGAAAATACATGGTTATGTTTATGATTTTATTTCGAGCATGTGAGCTTGCGTACTTTTTATTCATAAATTGTTAATTTGGTATGCATAAATGTCAATATTCCCATCACTTGTTAATTGATAATTGTTAATTGATAAATGTTACTCCACTCATGTTGAGAGTGTCTTTCCCGCACTCGACTGCCACTTTCCGCACTTGTTAGGAAAAGTACTTTTGCGATTGATCAATAAAGAAACTTGGTCATCGAAAGTCCTCAGGGTGTTTTAATGTTCTCGACTTTACAATTTGATTGAATTCACTTTATATATTATATTAGTCCGCGAACAAATTGTTGGCATTATAAACTGGTCAACGTTGATAACGTCGTGGTACAAAATATAGCCTGAATTCAAAGTAGAATAACTCACGAATTTCCTCACCAATTTGAAATCGGTTTTCACCGATGATTAGCCTAATCTCTTGACACTTTGTTGTGGCAATATTAAACTTCTATGATTTCAGATAACATTGCTACAGGGTGATAATTGAATGGGTGTAAAATAGCATCATGGTCGTCACCTCACCGTTTGAACAGACAATTTTTTTCATTTTATTTCTCACCTGTATCCTCTCAATTGATGCTTTCTCTCGAAACGTTTTCGGAATTATCCAATTCAGAGCTTTGATAATCGTGATATGAATATTCATTCAAAATTATGCATTTTTTCGACGATTAATTGAATGAAATTGGAAGTAGGAATTCTTTTTCAAAGAATCAACCTTGTATGTATAGTCGTCGGATATGTGATCGTGTTCGAACACAGAAAATTCTGAAGTAGTCATACAAAGTGATTCAAGAAATACTGAATGATGGAATGGAAAATAACGTAGTCTTCAGTAGATAAAAAATAATTTTCTCTGTGTTACTAGTGAAATAATGGAGTGTTACTTCGTCATGAGGATGTCTGATGTCTGACCTCGAAATGGTTTTGTAATTTCTCGGATCGAAGGTCATATAATGGACGTACGCATTTTTTATCAATATGATGCATTTTCGTTAATATAAATTATAAAATTCAAAAAATGACGATTGTAGTTCCAGTAGTATGAAATTCATATTAATTCTCGACGATGGATATACAAGGAGCGATGAAAAATATGTCCAGATTGTCCCGGGATGAAGAAGAATATGTTTAAACGTGATGAAAGTCGCTATGTTCCGAAAAAGAGATATAGTGTCGGTTATTGTCGGAAATGTATGAATACAATAACTTTTCATGAAGCTTATACGAGGAAATATGAAAGAGACTGCAGAATTGCTATAGATTCGATAAAATGTTTTTCATACTAATGAAGATGAATTCAGTAAGTCCAACATTTTATCGAATCTATAGCAATGCTGCAGTCTCTTTCATATTTCCTCGTATAAGCTTCATGAAAAGTTATTGTATTCATACATTTCACAATTTCCGACAATAAACTACACTATATCTCTTTTTCGGAACATAGCGACTTTCATCACGTTTAAACATATTCTTCTTCATCCCGGGACAATCTGGACATATTTTTCATCGCACCATGTATATCCATCGTCACGAATTAATCTAAATTTCATACTTCTGGAACTACAATCATAATTTTTTGAATTTTATAATTTATCTAAACGAAAATGCATCATATTGATGAAAAATGCGTACCTCCATCATATGACCTTCGATCCGAGAAATTACAAAACCATTTCGAGGTCAGACACCAGACATCCTCATGACGAAGTAACACTCCATTATTTCACTAGTAACACAGAGAAAATTATGTTTCATCTACTGAAGACTACATTATTCTCCATTCCATCATTCAGTATTTCTTGTATCACTTTGTATGGACTACTTCAGAATTTTCTGTGTTCGAACACGATCACATATCCGACGACTATACAAGGTTGGTTCTTCGAAAAAGAATTCCAACTTCCTATTTCATTCAATTAATGGTCGAAAAACTTCATCATTTTGAACGAATATTCATAACACGATTATCGAAGCTCTGAATTTGAAAAGAAATGAAAAAAATGTTCTGTTCAAACGGTAAGGTGACGACCATGATGCAATTTTACACCCATTCAATTATCACCCTGTAGCAATGTTATCTGAAATTACAGAAGTTCCATATTGCAACAGAAAACTGTCAAGAGATTAGGCTAATCATCGGTGAAAACCGATTTCAAATTGGTGAGGAAATTCGTGAGTCATTCTACTTTGAATTCAGGCTATATTTTGGACCACGACGTTATCAATGTTGACCAGTTTATATAATACATCTTGAAAAAGGTGTAGTGACTGACGTCACTGACTATTATTTTCGTCTTGCAGTATAAATGAAAATAAGTTTGTGAGTACTAACCTGATATCATTGGCGATTTTCATTATAGAACACGCCACAACATTCAGCGCCCCAGAAACTTCGACCATGGCGTCATGGGCAGCAAGTGCCTCGAATTTGTTTGGTGCAGAAGTGAAAGGTAGGCCTGTCAGTTCGGATATCTGAGCGGCACATTTTTCTGCAAATCCTTTTCTTGTGTTAAGACCAGTACCAACCGCAGTACCACCCAAAGCTAACATGTTCAATCTGAAACAAAAATATATAGGATGATTCACGATTGTTGTTGTTACCCTCCCAGAAACATCTTTGTTTATAATAGGGATATATAAACATTTGATATATTTGCAACTTTCATATTGAGCTAGGAGATATTTTTTCGTCAAAACATTTATATGTATATCCTGTATATCCCACTTCAATTTATTATCAAACCACATCCCAAGATACTTTTTCTCATTGGTTTGTTTCGAAGATTCATTTTTAATTTTGAGATTTAAATTTATATTTTGTTTATTTATTTGTTGAAAAATTATTTATCACTATTCATAATAATTCAACACACCCTTATGAACATAAAATTGCAGCATATAATAAATAGTATGATACACAGGCTAGTGAATGTCCCTCTTTCGGAAGTAAATTTCAATAAAGAACTCAATATCATAGAACAGATTGCAGTCAACAACGGATGCAACGTTAATTTGATAGACAGTATTCTTTCTAAAAAACTTCATCATCAAGCTATTCAAGAAGTTTATCCTACCATCAAGAATAATAATCAAAATTATAGAACTTTGACCTATTTCGGATCATCAACTGAGAAATGAGCTTCATTTCTACATAAACAGGACTTAAAAGTGGCATATAGAACAAATAACACGTTGGGACGGTTTATCAAGAATAATAAAGACAAAACTCCTAAATTCGAAAAATCAGGGGTATACAAACTCAACTATGGATCTTGTCCTAAAGTATATGTCGGTCAGGAAGTTCGTACGTTTAATCAGCGCATTCATGAACATAAGATGCATTTTATGAAAAAGAAAACAAATTCAACATACGCCAACCATATATTAGAAGAAAACCATAGTTTTGATGATAATTTCGAAATTCTACTCGTAGAAAATAAAGGACTGAAACTCAATCATTTTGAATCATTAGAAATCAACAAACTAAAAAAATTGACATTTCACTTAATGATCAATGAGACCTCAATAGTTCGAGTAAGTAATAATATGTATTTGCTATCAACTCTTCCAAGTTAATCCGGTATGTATTTTAATGTAGATATTGTGCCTAATTTCCGAAAATGGAGGTTTATCGTACCTGTCCACAGGTAACTAATCCTTCAGGTTCTGTTTTTATCCGCTTGAAAAGTCGTAGATTCCTGAGTAAGAACTTAAATTTATGTCTATGTATTAATTTATCTACTATATTCATATCATAACCATTGACGCCAGCCACTTTATAAACAACACTCCTTTCAACCTCGAATCTTTGTTTGCTCAGAGAAAATGAAACTAGTCTATGTACTAGGAAGTTTAAACTTGCCATTTAGTGTTGAAAACAGTGATTGGAGTCATTAGTTATGTATCTAAGTGTATTAGTTTCTTTTCTAAAAACATCAAATTCTAAATTGCTTTCGCCATTTTTGATCACAAGAACTTGACCGTTAGTTTCGCATTCAAAAGTGAATTTGATAGAGGGAAAGCAATCGTTCAATTGTGAAATGAAGTTATCTATATCTGTGTAACAAAGCCTACACAGAACACGCAGAAAGATATGATGATGTTGTTGTGAGCATCAGAGAAGAAGTAGGACGGTGTATGTAGGTGGGTGTGGAAAAACTACCAGCTGAGCGTGAGAGCGGGCCAGCTGCTTAGTAGACCTCGGTCTCGGGGGTTAACGAGGATAGTTAGCAGGCCTGCCACTGCACATATGGTAGTGAGTACATTATTAGCCTACAAAACACAGCCGAAAAACTCTGAAAGAGAGCTGATGGGCGGTGCCAGAAAAGGATGTTAGCCAGCTCTCTTGAGCGAACCACATCAGCCATTGAAAACACTTGGGGTTTGCAAAAAGGTCCCATTAGGGACTAGTTGCTGACGTGGAAACGTCCCCCACCAGTACCAGTACCAGTATCTATATCTGTGATTTTCGTATAAAAAAATGGCAAAAATATCGTCGACATATCTAATCCAAACCGATTCATTGATAAACAATTACCCATGGCTGTACCATCATGTTGCTCTTGTCTGTATTGAAAAATATTTTGGCTCATGGCAGAGGTGTTTTAATAACCTCAAATTAGTTAAGCAAGTTAATGATATTAGAAAATTAGATGCATATGAAAGCTTAGAGATATTTTGGAATAGTGATAGAGTAATGAATAAGGATAATGGGCCTATCCCATTTAGCCCTCTGTATAGTTTAGTAATATAACATGTGAACTCAACCATGAATAACATTCTTGGCGGGTATTGTTTATTCACGGTTGGGTGGACATATACAGCCAACTAGGATAGAGCATCCAGTTTTAATCTTCTTCCTGAAGACGCTAACATAGTTAGTGAAACACGTGTAGAGGTGCAAAAAATCGGTTTGGTTAGTGGTAAAACAGTGTGTAGTGAATGTATTTCCAATCTTTATATATACAAATTTGTACTCTGCTTTGTCAAAAAGATTTCATCTTGGACAATAAAGATCATTTGATTGATATGGTTGTGGTGTATTTTGATTGTTTCAAATTGGGTGGATCGTTTTATCATGAAGTTTTTCGGATGATAATCAAGTTGAAAAAGACTAACCTCGGCAAAGTAGCCTTCACCCTGTCGATCCCGAACCGCATCTGCTGCACATAGCCGCTGAACTCCTGGCCCAACGTCAGCGGCACCGCGTCTTGCGTGTGCGTCCTCCCAATCTTGATGATCGGCGCGAACTCCTTGGCCTTCTTGTCCAACGCGTCGGCCAGCATGGCGAGCCCCGGCATGAGCGTGTGCTCGATCTCCATGGCGACGGCGATGTGCATGGCCGTGGGGAAGGTGTCGTTGCTGCTCTGGCTCTTGTTCACGTGATCGTTGGGGTGGACGGGGTCCTTCGAGCCGAGTTTGCCGCCCAACAGTTCTGCGAAGGAACCGTTCGTGAAATACTGCCACTTAGAATCCTCCAGAATAAAGTTGTCAAATGTATATACAGGGTTACTGGTAATTTCTAATATAATTTTTAATATGCATTATGCAAAAGTTAATAGTTTTTGAGATATTTAATTTCTCATGTTTTTCTCCAAGGGGTACACTTCAAGGGTTTAAAAGTTAGTTTCCCGAAAATCTGCTTTACAGTTTTTCAAACTTTCAACTACATGATCAACACTATGGTCTCATGTTTGGAATGACAAAATCACAGAAATAATTCAGATCATAGATAAACTGTAGATACAAAGTCGCATTTTTTTTTGTAAATTGTGGATTTTAACCACATTCTAGCGGTTATTTTTAGAAAAATCTCTATGCCACATTTGTCAAAAATTTGTTAAAACTTCCTCAAGGCAATAGCTATTTAACTGGGTACAAATGAAACTAAATGTGCTTGATAGTGATTTGTTATTCCAAAAGAAAACACACTTGGAAATGCCTATCAGTATTAATTTTCGGCAGTTTTTATTTCCGTTCATTTGCTCGAGGCATCCAGATAGCATAAAAAATGTTCATAACCTCCATCATTGGGCCGAAGAAAACCCTCGTTTAACAAGGGAAACTAGTTTCCAACGGAAGTTTTTTGTTAATGTGTTGATGGAACTCATTGACAGTTATTTAATAGAACCACATTTTTTCCTAGACAATTCAAACAGGGAAATTAATGAACCTTTTTTTCGGCATGATCTACAGGGAGCTTCTTGAGGATGTTTCTCTCGCCATCAGAGGACGGATGATATTCCAATAAGACGGTTGTTCAGCGCATTATCGGCTGACCGTTCGGCAGTTCCTAGATGAACGTTTTTTGAACCGTTGGATTAGGAGGTCAAGTCGAATAGGTTGGCCAGCGCGAAGCCCTGACCTAATCCCCCTTGATCATTATGTGTGGGGTCATATGATGAAAGCGCTAGTTAATGGCACTCCAGTAAATACCCGGGAAGAACTCATACAAATGATAACCGATGCTGCCCTACACATACAAAATAATATGAGAACTAGAATAACAATGACGGAAATAAGAAGAAGCTGCCGAGCATGTATTCGTAATAGAGGTCTCATTTTGAGCAGTATTTGTAAAAAGTTAATACAAATATTAGAAGTTTTTCAAGTATGTTTTTACTATTCATGTAAAATAACAATTCCGTTTCAAGCACTTCTACTATCATTTTGTACTCAGTTAGATACCTATTGAATTAAGGAAGTTTTGACAAATGTGGCTTAGAGATTTTTCTATAAATAACCGCTACAAAGTGTTGAAATCCGCAATCAACAAACAAAAATACGACTTTGTGTATACGATTTATCTATTATCTAAATTATTTCTGGAATTTTTTCATTCCAACCATGAGAGCATAGTGTTGTTTATGTCTTCTAGTTGAAAGGTTAAAAAAATGTACAGCAGATTTTCGGAAAACTAACTTTTTAACCCTGGAAGTCTACTTTTTGGAGATAAATAGAAAAACTTGAATATCTCAAAAACTATTAACTTTTGCATTATCCATATTAGGGTTAAATTCACTCCCTACCACCTCCCCTATCGCATCACCAAAGGAATTACCAGTAACCCTGTATATAAATTGGATTATTTGGAACCAAAAGAAACCTTTATAAACCGAATGAAATAAATATTAGATCTACAATCAATATATAAATTCAGAATATCAACATTCATTCAGTCGAACACAATTATAAACATTCCAATATGAATTTTAATATTAATGCTAATATACATTCACATTCAACCAGTGACGGCTCGTGCCCTCAGAACCTGGGTCGGCCAGGGTATAGATATTGCTCTAAAATGCGAACGTAAGTGGGTCAGCGGCTTGAGTGAAGTTCGATGGCAAATAAGCATGTACAGGGTGATTCACCATAATTGTCCTTTCTCCCTCTAGCTCACTTATTTTTGACCCGATTTAAAAATTTGAAGGATGATCTAAAATGATTTCTCAGAATTTTTTTTCCCGTTGCATCAGGAAATACAGGGTGCACGGAACAAATGATCTACAGGGTACTACTCGATTTTTCCAAATCGAACACCCTGTATTTCATTGTATTTTTAGATTCTTCCTGAAGAGCTGATTTCATCAATGCATCACACTTGGGGTCTAGCGGGAATGATAACAGAGATATAGGGTGTTCAAAATCGAGGTTTTTCAAGTTTAGGATTTTTTTGTCTCGAAACTATTCATTATTGGTCGAAACGGCTCCTATGTTTCCATCTTAATTTTTGATTAACTGTCTATTGAGATTTGATTGGAACATTTACAGGGTGGTTCAAGATTCAGAATTCTGATCACCCTGTATCTGTTCCAATTATTAAATGTCAGTAGATAGTAAATCAGAAGTTGAGATATGGACATGAAAGCCGTTTTGACCGATGATGAATAGTTTCGTCTCAAAAAAATCCTGAAGTTGAAAAATCTCGATTTTGAACACCCTATATGTCTGTAATCATTCCCGATAGACCCCAAGTGTGATACATTGAGCAAATCAGCTTTTCAGGGAGAATCTAAAAATACAATGAAAAATAGGGTGTTCCATATAAAAAAATCAAATGGTACCCTGTAGATCGTTTGTTCTGAGCACCCTGTATTTTCTGATGTAGCGGAAAAAAACTCAATCAAAAATCATTCAAGATGATATTTCAAATTTTGAAATCGGTTTAAAAATAATTGAGCTAGAGGGGGGGACATTTATGGTGAATCACCCTGTACACATAACCAAAAAATTAAATTGTCCAGCAAGAACCACGAGGTTAGAGCATTCTCGCCAGGGGAAATGGGGAAAGAAAAAGAAGGTGGATAAGGGTTAGTTGGTATGAAAAAATAATAACAAGAAAGTCGAAAAAATAAAATGAAAGAAAATAAAAATAAAATAACTCGTGAACAAAAAATATTTATATTCTGTTGAAAACGTAATGTAAACTCAAAAAAATCAACATAACCGACAACCACTCACCTAACGCGAGAAGCACAACAATGACTAATCGGTCTACGCCGTTCCTGTAACAAGCCACCCCACTGACCCCACTCCTTCGTAGTCGGCTGGCCGAGCCCGCGTGCAGGGTGCAGCCGTAGGTATAATGTTTCCCGCGATGCGATGGATGCATAAATATTATTTATTTAGTTTATAACCGCTACATGCGTCTTTGAAAATAAATGATATTCTGGAAGTTATACATTTATTACATCATCACCAGAGCTTTTTTACGATGTTTCAATGCCTACTCAGCTCTTGGACTGCTGACATTTTTCTTGCCATATTACCTACATAGGCAGAGGCACAGTAGGTTACATTACAGCAATATTCAAATTGAATTATAACTTATTGACGCTCAGAAGCACTGAAGGAAAATTCTGATACCAATATTAGATGGATATGTTGAATTATGAATTACTGAAAAATTGCAAATTCAAAAATCACCAGTCATTTTTACTGCAACTACTGCAAGCGTAAACAAAAACATGGAAATTATTTTTCTTTTCAGTTTGTACATTTCAAATTCCAACATCAACTTACAAATAAGTATAGGAATTGAAATTATAAATACCTACAATGTAAAATGAAAATAGAATGTCAATCATGCCAATCCGTATATTAAAAATTAGGTCGGAATGGTTCGATACGGTGCACAGCGAGCGCACTGCAAACTGCAAACAACTGATACTAAGTACGATCGATACGTTGGACGGCCAGCAGAGCTTGGCCGCACCCAAAGTATGACGCGTATAAGCGAAAATTTAAACTTGAAGCGGGGAATCTGTAGGCGATGCCTGTGGCGATGCGTCGAGACATGAAATCACCGATCGGCCGGCCGTCTGCATCAGTGTAATGAGCTACGCGAGCGTTTCGACTGAAAGCGGCGTTTTGACGATGGGATTACCAGATGTCGTAGGTCCTGAATTAGTTCGTGATTTTCGGTGTATAAGCGGATGGCATACTCAAAGGTTCCATGAATGAAATTCAAATAATAGTGGCATAACAGTAGGATAATGAGCGATGAATTATGAAAACAGTTTCGGAAAATAATTTTATTCATCAAATAGTTCAGTAATTTTCCCCAAATTATTTGGTACGGCCCGGCCGACCCTGCCGTCCCTGACGAGCCGTCACTGCATTCAACTAGACAAACCGACATGTTTTCCTTCATAAAAATCAAATCTGAATTCAGTAAGAGATCTTTATATTACAATGGATTATTACTTTACAATGAATTGCCAACAAAACTTGAAAAGAAAATCAGTACAAAAAAATTCAAGAAAGAACTTAAAAAATATTCATTTATCTGAATTCACTCATGTCATCCATATAGAAATCATATAACATATCAATTATTTTAATCATTCATTCACTCAAACAAGGATCAGCTCAAACTCTGAGAATTACTAGAATAATTATTATACCTATACCTACTACATTTTAAATGTAATGTAATACATTATGGTTTATTTTTTAATGTTCCCTGTTATAAACATATACGTCAATTGTTTCTTGGGAATAATAAAGGTGATGATGATGATGAAGGGCGATCGAGGAGGTGGAACATTCATTTTACCAGACTTTTTGGGATTTTCTCTCCTCGTTTCTACATATAATAGTGTATTATACACCTAGGGTGAGAAGTGAGCTATTATACAAGGTATGTCACGACGAGCTTACACCATCTACAGGGTGTCCCAAATTCGATCTTCACCATTGGCATCTCGGTTACTATTCAACAAAATTCAATCTTGATTCAGAATCCGTTAAGAAATCTAGACTTACTTCAGTAATTTTTTATTTATTCAAGAAAAACTGGAATCTTGTATTTTTGTTCTACTCGAATGGTTTTGTCAGTTTTTGTTAAATATTCTGAGATATGACCAACTTATTTTTTCTTTTCTTTTTTTTTAAATCAATAAACCCATTCAAAAGGTCACTAAAAAGTAC